CAGCCTGGGCAACATGGCAAAACCCTATCTGTACTAAAAATACAAAAATTAGCCGAGCATGGTGGCAGTCACCCATAATCCCAGCTACTCAGGCAGCTGAGGCACGAGGGTCACTTGAACCCTGGAGGTGGAGGTTGCGGTGAGCCGAAATTGTGCCACTGCACTCCATTCTGGACAACAAAGCGAGACTCTGTCTCAAAGAAAGGAAAAGGAATGATAGGAATGACTTCCTTCAATGATTTGGGCCACCCTCCTTGTTGAGCCCTGAGATTTTTCTCAAAACTACACTGTGAGAAGAATCCTCACACAGCCCCTTTCCCAGTTATCTCCTTTAGCTGGTCAAAAGGAGGTAACTATAGTTCTAATCTTTCCCCAAGAACCCCGGCTCCAAAGTGTCCTCTGTGCACTCCCTGCAAGTGACGGCAGAGTCTCTTTTTGAATTATGACCAGTTCGGGGAGGCACCTCCTGGCTCTAGTTGTGTTTATTTTCAGAAGAAGTTTGAGTGGGGCTGTTGAGGGGGTGGAAGTTGGCCATTTCCACCTTTCTGTGGAGCGGGTCTGGAAAATTGCTTATGTCCAAGGGTGTCTCCTTGCAATGTCTTGGTCATAGGCCTAGTTCTTTTTCTTTGTCTGGTAAATATTTTTGGAAAGCATTTTCTTTCAGCACTCCCTCCTCCCTCTTTTCACCCCCGGAAAACCACTGAGTGAGAGCCCTCCCAGGATGCCGTCTGAGTTGCATTTTCCAGCCTAGATGCCACGTGCATCTTTTGCCTTTGGTGAACTTTAAACAGAAGAACACAAAGCTGAAAGGAACATTTTGCCAATGAAAGTGGCTACTGTCTACAACTCATCGACAGACCAAGAGGAGAAATAGCTGGCAGTTACGTAATAAAAGCAGTGATGGTGACCAACCAGAACAGATTCAAGGTCAAGTTACCAGGAGAGGGAGAGATAAAGTTCCTGAGATTATACGTGTTAGTGCCTTTGGCAGCTCTGTGTGCAGAGTGAGTCTTTTACCCCTAGAGGGCAGTCACGGCCCTCCTGAGGCACCAGCCCTTCAGGTCACCATAATGGTTCCCATCTCTTTGCTAAATAAGCTTTGTTTACCAAGAAATAACAAATAGCCTTTACAACATGACTGTGACTTTTGATCACTGTCCCTTCCAATGGGATGGCGACGATGGGCCTTCCACTGTATAATTCTAGCCAAAAATAAAACTTGCTTTGTGGCTGGTCTGCACGCCTGATAGAGGTACATATGATCATCTTTTTAAGATATTGGTTAGATCTGTTATATTTGCTGATGGGAAAACTTGACAAAAGCAAGTTATAAGCAATAAGTAACCTTGATTATATTATAGTGATAGAATTATGGGGCTTAAAAAAATTCTTCTAGACTTTTTTCTATTGATGAGATTGTGGGTAGATTTTTAGAATCTACTTTGTAATTTATCCTTTTAACAAACTATGTCATATAATATATACATGAATATCTTCTTCAAGGTCATGGTTGAGTCCTGTCCCTTTTGACTACCTTTCCACTGTAACTGTAGTTTCTTCCACAGAGGTAACCTATACTAGCAAGTTGCTGTATAACTCTCCAGAAACATATCCTAAAATGTTCATTAATATTTAAGTGTTTTGAGTGCGCTTCTGTGGTTAACATAAGTGGTTTATGCTGTATATGTTATTGTACAATTTGCTTCATTCATTCATAAACACCGTCCTACAAATATGCATAGTTCATACAAATATGCATACATTATGCCTTCTACTTATTTTTAGAGACAGCGTCTTGCTCTATTGCCCAGGCTAGAGTATAGTGGCATCATCATAGCTCACTGCAGCCTTGAACTCCTAGGCTCAAGTGCTCTTCCTGCCTCAGCCTCCTGAAATGCTGAGATTACAGGTTTGAGTCACACATCTAGCCCATTGTGCTTTTAAAATGATACATCTTTCCTAAGAAAACTTTTGAGACCTGATACTATAAAATATGTTATATATTTGAAGACACACATTTGAACGTCTGTGAAATTGGGATGTGTCTTTAAATCAGTGGCACTCTAAACTTGATGAAATATAGTGTAAGACACTTCTAATGTCAGTCCCCATCTTATTTTTCTTTTCTTTTACACACAAGTGCAGTAGCTCTAAGAACTTCCCTTTGTGTTACTTATATCAGCTTATTTATCTTTGTAATATTCTGCAAGGAAGCTGGGAACAGGTATAAGAAGCCTTGTCTTGTAACTATGGAAACAAAGACACACTCTTTCCAGTGTTCAGCTTGATAGGTATCAGAGGCTGAGTCAGAAGTTATTATAAAAGCTCTTTCAACCTTATGGTCTCATTTTCTCCAGTACTGAAAGTCCTGGGTACTTTTATGTATAAGTCCACTTTAAAAAAAAATGAAGGAAGGAAATTCCGGATTCAAATGTTCAATGCCAGCTCTAGCACTTTCCTCACTGACTTACTGTAAAATATAGCTTTAATGTATAAAGAGTTCCAATTTGATTAGCACAGAGTCATTTCTCAATAGAGACTAGCTATTGTTATTCTTCCTACTAATATTAATTATGCCCACTTTTTCTGTCTACTTATAATGAATACAGCTTAGATTTTTCTGATTTTGTTTTCTAATTTTTTACTCAAGGACCAAAATAGGTTTGAAAATGTCTTCTGGTTCATTAGAGATTTTATTACATTTTGACATGCTATCCCACCACCATCAGCATGTTCTTAGGTTGAATTTTATGTAAGCAAGTAAATAAGGGTCTATGCCCTCTGGGAATTTACAGCCTAAAATGGATGGACTAGTTGGACAGCATCAGAAAAGGCATGTAAACGGTTTTGAGCCCCAGTGTCATCAATCCTTTTGCTCCCTCGGGGGTCAAAATCTAGAGAGAACTGTTTATACACATGAATTTGGTGAGGCTCTTGAGTAAATAAAATAAACAAGTACATGCTTAAATCTTAGTAAGTCCATAAGCTGCACACAGAAGTGGCACTCAGAGTATTCAGCCGTGTACTTTGTTTCTCTTTTTTAGAGACAAGTTTTCCCACTGTTGTCAGACTAGGCTGCAGTGGCACTGCAGCCTCAAACTCCTGGGCTCAAGCAAACCTCTGGCCTCAGCCAGTCCTCCCACCCCAGCCTCCTAAAGTGCCGGGATTAGAGGCATGAGCCACTGCTCCTAGCACCAACCCCGTACTTTTTAAAAAGCTGTGGTATTGTTAAGTGTCTGGTTTTTGCTTTTGCTTTTGCTTTTGTTTTGAGACAGGGTCTCACTCTGTTGCCCAGGCTGGGATGCAGGCATAACCATGCCTCACTGCAACCTCGACTTCCCTGGGCCCAAGTGATCCTCCCTCTTCAGTTTCTTTAGTAGCTGGAACAGGCACGCACCACCACACTAATCTAATTTTTTCTGTATTCTTTGTAGAAATTGGGTTTCACCATGTTGCCCAGGCTAGTCTCAAATTCCTGGGCTCAAGCAATCTGCCTGCCTTGGCCTCCCAAGTGCTAGGACTACAAGTGCTAGACACGAGCCACCACACCCAGCCTGTGTGTTTTATTTCATTGAACCACAAGTTTTCTCCTTCTTGATTATCTAAAATATTTCATATTTCATAAAAGTTTAGGATTAACATATGGCCTAGCTTTTTACCTCCAAAGTCAATTAGTGTTATCAGTTTTTTGTTTTTCCTCTCAGATTTTTATAATATACACATGCACATATGTAGGTTTGTTCTTTTTATAAATTAAAAAAATGGCCGACCAGGTGTGGTGGCTCACACCTGTAATCCCGGCACTTTGGGAGGCTGAGGCAAGCAGATCACGAGGTCAGGCGATCGAGACCATCCTGGCCAACATGGTGAAACCCTGTCTCTACTAAAAATACAAAAAAATTAACTAAGCATGGTGGCATGTACCTGTAATCCCAGTTACTCTGGAGAGTGAGTCAGGAGAATCACTTGAACCCTGGAAGTGGAGGTTGCAGTGAACCGAGATTGTACCACTGCATTCCAGACTGGTGACAGTGCGAGACTCTGTCTTAAAAAAAAAAAAAAGCCACATACTTACTGTTATGCATCACCTTACATTTTCATTTAATATTGTATCTTGGAAATTGTTCCAAATAAGTTTATAAAGAGGCTCTCTGGCGCTTTTTTTTTTTTTTTTTTTTGAGACGGAGTTTCGCCGTTATTACCCAGGCTGGAGTGCAATGGCGCGATCTCGGCTCACCACAACCTCCGCCTCCTGGGTTCAGGCAATTCTCCTGCCTCAGCCTCCTGAGTAGCTGGGATTACAGGCACGCGCCACCATCCCCAGCTGATTTTTTGTATTTTTAGTAGAGACGGGGTTTCACCATGTTAACCAGGATGGTCTCGATCTCTCGATCTCGTGATCCACCTGCCTCGGCCTCCCAAATTGCTGGGATTATAGGCATGAGCCACCGCACCCGGCCAGCTTATTTCTTTTTTTTTTTTAAGACAGACTCTGATTATGTTGCTAAGGCTAGAGTACAGTAGCTATTGACAGCCATGATCATGGCACACTGCAGCCTCGATCTCCTAGGTTCAAGCGATCCTCCTACCTCAGCCTCCTGGATAACTGGGACTACATGTGTACGCACCATGCCCCTGTTCTTCAGGCTATTTTATGGCTGCATTGTATTTTGCCAGTTTTAAATAATTTTTTCACAATATCCTATTGGACATTGAGGTTATTTCTACCCTTTTTGCTATTTCAAATGATGCTACAGTGAGTGATTTCATATATGGATTGTTTCTCACCTGTGCAAGTTCACCTTGATATACTTCTGGAAATTGAAATCCTGGTTCAGAGGCAAGTGCTTTCATAGTTTTGAAAGAAATTCCAGTTGTAACATGTGCTCCCACCATCGGTATATGAGAGCAACTGTTTCCCCACAGCTTTGCCAACACTGTATGTTGTTGAACTTTTCTCACTTTCTGTTGAATCCTTTTTCTTTGCTTTGCTCTCACAGAGGTCAGCAGAACTGGCTACAATTAGATCACCGAGTTCTTGATCATGATTTGCCCAAGAAACCAGGCGCAACCATTTTGTACTTTGCTGTGAGGTATGTATCCACAGACCCAGTTAGCATCCCTCTTTTTTTGCTGTTATTATTGCTTTTGTGTGTGTGTGTGTGTGTGTTTCTATTTTTTACATTTCTGGTGATTAGAGATAGTAAATAAAAAGAGACCTATCAAAACATTATGATGTGAAAGAGATTCTCTGCTGTCTTGGTCTGGGGACCAAGTTACCATGGATACTGTAGAGCTGTTTTCTTTGAAGATGAAGGATAGAGTCACCTCCTTTATTCCTCAAAGCCTCTTAGATCAGTTTAAAGCTGAAAAACATGGGTAATATATTTAATAAGCTGTTTCTCACTCAACTTTTTTTAAGAATCTTATTATTTGAAATATGACAAACATTTGCTATTACATTTTACATAGCAATAATGTTTTCTACAGACTTGGAAATAATTGAATTTTATACAATTTCATGTCTTAATTTGAACAGAGGACAAAATGCAAGCAAATGTTCACAGAAAGAATTAACAGTACAGGGATCTGAATTCCATTCACATGCAGAGAGACTGCTGAAAATAATGCAGTCCATGAGTTGTTCTCTGAGGTCTGCTTGGGCAAGTCACTTAACCCTATCCTGAAATTGATGCATTCAACTAAATCAGCAATTTCTCAAATTCATCTCATGATGGATCTATTTTTTTTTTGCATTAATTGTTCAGAATCTGCAATAAATAAAATGTTATAAGATGTAATACTGGCCGGGTGTAGTGGCTCATGCCTGTAATTCCAGCACCTTGAGAGGCCAAGGCAGGTAGATCACTTGAGGTTAGGAGTTTAAGACCAGCCTGGCCAACATCATGAATCCCCATTTCTACTAAAAATATAAAAAATTAGCCAGGTGTGGTTGTGCCCACCTGTAATCCTAGCTACTCAAGAGGCTGAGGTATAAGGATCACTTGAACTCAGAGGCAGAGGTTGCAGTGAGCCAAGATCATGGCACTGCACTCCAGCCTGGACAACAGTGAGACTCCGTCTAAAAAAAAGGAAGAAGAAGAAGAAGTAATATCTATGTTTCTCTACCTAGCTTGATGTAAAATCATTAATGATTGAGCTGAAAGCCCCTTCTTATGTGCTGGCCCCCTCTCCCCACTTTGCTAAATTTGACGAAAATTTTTTTGATAAATTTTATGTTGGTATAAAATCAAATATGACAAAATAAGCTAAAGTCATAGTTTTCTCATAAAGCTAGGTTAACCTACAGAATGGTCCTGTATTCTGAGAATATGTTAATTTTTGTTTGTTTATTTGTTTGAGACAGGGTCTTACTCTGTTGCCCAAGCTGGAGTGCTGTGGCACAATCTTCACTCACTACAACCTCGGCTTCCCGGGCTCAAGCAATCAGTCTCTCAATAGCTGGGACTACAGGCATACACCACCAGACCCAGCTAATTTTTTGTATTTTTTGTAGAGATGAGGTTTTGCCATGTTATCCAGGCTGGCCTTAAACTCCTGGGCTCAAGCATCTACCTGCCTCAGCCTCCCAAAATGCTGAGATTACAGGCATGAACCATGCCTGATAATATTAACTTTTGGAAGATGAAAATGTACTTTATTTTATACGTTGAAGGTGTAGGTTTCATGCTTTTTGAGGGGAGGGGTTTTTTACCTGGCAGAATTCTGTCGCATTTTGCATATGCCTTTTATTTTAATTGAGTCTTTTCAATTCTGTTGAAATTCAAAAGCATGAGAATATGACAGAATACATTTTAGAAAAAGCTTTTTTTGGCCAGGCACAGTAGTTCATGCCTATAATCCCAATATTTTGGGAGTCTGAGGTGGGAGATTCACTTGGGTGCAGGAGTTTGAAGCCAGCCTGGGCAACATATGAGACCCCAACTCTACAAAATATTTTAAAAATTAAGTGGGTGTGGAGGTGGGCACCTGTGGTCTTCACTACTCGGGAGGCTGAGGTAGGAGGATCGCTTGAGCCCAGGAGGTCAAGGCTTCAGTGAGCCTTGATTGTGCCACTGCACTCCAGCCTGAGTTACAGACACCCTGTCTCAAAACAAAACAGAAAGATCTTATTCGTATTAATCGATGGGGATTGTGGAGATTTGCTGCTCCGTACTCAGCAAATGAAATGTTAGTCACCTCCAATTTCTTTTTTGCTTTTGGGGCTGAAATCTGGTTTAGAATATAATTTCTTTAATTAAATAGAAGTAACATAACAAGAAGTAACTTAATTGCCAGAAGTAATTCTATTTTTGAAGCGCAGGAAGGAGGTAGCATAGTAGTGATTTGTCCAGGAACATAGCTGGTATGGAAAAGTACAGAGAATAGCAAAGTTTTAATCTTGTATTATATAGGGAAAATGTCTGAACACAAATAAAACATACTTTTCCTAAGAGAATTATGTTACCAATATAAACATTTCAAATTATATGAATGTATGGAATGAAAAGTAAAAATTACTCTTCACCACCTCCAACCTTCACCTCTACCATTAAGTTTGCTCCCCTTCTTAGAAAAATACGAAAAGTTGTTTGATGACTTAATTTTTTTTTCTTTGCAACTTAGAGAACTTTCCTTTGGCATATAAAAATCTACTTCTTTAAACATTTAGGCTATTCCTAGTTGTTTATATTAAAATTTAGGTTGTAGCTGGCCAGGCACAGTGGTTCACACCTGTAATCCCAGCACTTTGGGAAGCCTAGGTGGGCAGATCACTTGAGGTCAGGAGTTTGAGACCAGCCTGGCCAACATAGAGAAACCCCATCTCTACTCGAAATACAAAAAATTGGCCGGGTGTGGTAGCAGGGGCCTGTAAGCCCCGCTGCTCCAGAGGCTGAGGCAGGAGAATCACTTGAACCTGGGAGGCAGAGACTGCAGTGAGCCAAGATTGCGCTACTGCACTCCAGCCTGGGGGATAGAGTGAGACTCCGTCTCAAAAAAAAAAAAAAATAGATTTCAGCTAACATCCTTGCACTTTCATCTTTTGTGCAGATGGTGTAGTGTTCACAGTGTTAACTACTCAATGAAAGCAATATTCCTTCAGAAAAGCTAACAGGTACCATCTAGGTAGTAACCAGATTTATGTAGATTCTTTGACAGCTAATATCTGGTCTGTTTTGGGTCATAGAATATCAAAGGAGAAGCCCTGTCTCACTTTCTGTACAGTCATTCACAGGCACTCTATCTTCTCCAAGCAGGTTCCTGAAATTCCAGAGTGGCCTGCTGCTTGTTCATCAGTTTCAGCACTTACTTGGAGCCTTATCTCAAGAGTGCCCCATAATCACTTGGCATTACTTTCCCCTAACTACTTGCATGTTTAAAACCCTTATCAAGTTTTTAATTATTCATTTAGTTCTTCCTCCCAACAGTATAATGAGATCATAATATTCTTTGTTATTATTCCAATTAAGTAGTTGTTGTCACTCCAATTTGATTAAAGAAATGATAAAGGATAAGCACACACCAAAGAATTTCATGAACTGACCGAGGTCACTGTGGAAGGTAGCTAGTTCTGTGGACTGGAAATGGAGTTGTCTTGTGCTCCAGTGAAGTCAGTTGCTCCTCACAGGGTCTCTAGCCTCCTATTTGGATAAAACAGAACTATTGGTAATACTTCCATCCCAGTAGACGCCATCGACAAACCTCCAGGTTGACTGTGTTGACTGAAGAATAGAGAGCCGAAGAGAGCATTTGGTTCCGTCTTGATGTTCGCTCATTTTAGGAAACCCTGGAAGTGCAGGGGACCTCTTTTGAGATTGGGGTCATCACCTCTTGCGTCAGCACAGTAGTGCTGTATGCACCGGAACATGGAGCACAGAAGCCCCTCACTCATGGACATCAAGGTGTGTGGTCACCAAGTAGTTAATGCACAATGAGAAAGAACTCCCTGTAGTGACAGCACATTAAAGCATGAGTACCACTGTCATTTTCAATGCAAACGATTAGAAATATCCTAACGCCAACAGTGAAGATAGGTTCAGTAGGTTATGGCACTTTCATAGTAAACAATGAATCACTTTAACAAAAGAGGTTAGATGAAAAAGCGCATTGCAATTCAGAGCTTCTCCAGATAGGAGAGGCAGGGCATGTCTGAATCATCTCGGGAAATTGTTCAAACTACACAGTTACTCTCCTCCAACTCCACCTTCCTGGCCCAGATTCTGCTATAGTGCCATGGAGTGGGGGGTGCACTGCTGAGCCCTTCTCCACCCCTCCTCTTGTAAATCATTACTTTAATAAGTCACTGTTATCAGGGATGTTGTCATGTATCTCATCTCTCTTGCATCTTAGAAGATAAGACACATTATATCTGAAAAAAATATATAGGGAATGAGTGTATTTCTGTAAAACATAGATTACTCTTTATGCCATGATAAGTTCAAGTGATCACGTTGAGTTTTTTTGAAGTTGGCATGTTTTATAAACAAATATAGATCTATAAATACTGAGAAAATTCCTGGAAGGAGCTACACCAAGCTGTGAAGACCCATTTCTTCCTTCCTTCATTTATTATGTGTTGGAGTTTTGCTACACTGTACTCTGCCCCATCCCAGGTCTGAGGACCCAATAGTGAAAAGGCAAAAGTCTCTACCATCATAGTCAGCATACACATTAACAAATGCATTCATTATTTAATAACAGTCTGTTCATTCACCTGCTAAATAGTTTCTGAGTTCCTGCTGTGTGTCTGGCCCTATACTAGATGCTGCGAATATAGCAGTGGTAAAAGAAAATGACAAAATCTGGCCGGGCGCGGTGGCTCACGCCTGTTATCCCAGCACTTTGGGAGGCCAAGGCAGGTGGATCACGAGGTCAAGAGATCGAGACCAGCCTGGCCAACATGGTGAAACCCCATCTCTACTAAAAATACAAAACTTAACTGAGTGTGATGGCACGTGCGTGTAATCCCAGCTACTCGGGAGGCTAAGGCAGGAGAATCACTTGAACCCAGAAGAAGGAGGTTGCAGTGAGCGGAGATCAGGCCACTACACTCCAGCCTGGCAACAGAGGAAGACTCCATCTCAAAAGAAAG